CCAAAGCGTAAACCAGACGAGACTGGCATCTTCCCAACTCCGTTGCACATGGTGGTACTGAAGGATGATTATACACTACGCTAGATACTGGAGCAACGGCGGCAGCGGAGTACCCGAGGTCACGAAGATGGGAAAAGCGTATTTCAAAGGGAAGTCCAAGAAGTGGCACCCACATGATGCCACCCTCAAACCCAGGCGAAAACACAGCCAGAGAGAGATCAACCCTGTTCTAATCCTGGGTCATTCCTGCCCAAGGCAGCTACCCTCTCCTCTGGACAACCACCACAGCGCACTTCCATTCAAGCTTTCGCCTTCAGGTTCCCTGTCTTAGGGCAGGCCCATTTACATAGCGACGACCTTGGACCGATTAGAAAAATGTTGACCCAAGAGGACAATAAATGTATTTAAGTCTATAAACATACACCCCAAGATAACCATAAAAATCACTTTCCAGTGTATGTTTTAAAATACTACCAAAGAGGGGTTAAAATAGAGGAGGGCTCAAGGCCACCAGTGTCCCACACATTACAACATAATATATGTGAGCACAAGGTTAAACAGCCATGCCCATGCATAGGGTGCATGAAAAACTGGCAAGTGGAAGATTAATTGCCTGCACGAATGCTATTATTCCAACCAGCAGCTAGAATAAGAAAGAAAGTGGCAGTGATGTTGACAAAGGCAGTTGTTACACTTGTGCGTTTCTTTTCTCAAATTCTGTCTGTTAAAACAATTCTGGAGCGACTTGTTACCCCCGTCTCCACGCAGCGCTGGGGCTGCTTCTCCTCATACGCATTTGCTCTTTGTTTCCCCAGCCAGTGGCAGTGGCACGTGATAAACTTGACATGCCAGATTCCCAACGTCCTGGGTGTCCCACAGCCGCGACACCAGCACACAGGGACCGTCAGGTGGGTGCTAGCAGTTCACTGCACTATTTTAAGGTCTCTCTGCACAGCCAGAGTAGCGTAAAATGGCTTAAACGTACAGCAGAATCAGCCCCTAAATGTATTCCTAGGCTGCAGTGGCTAATTACATATACAGAAAACAGCAAGGTAGTACAGTGCTACACAGACTCGTGCCTTCAAAAGCACTTCGAGCAAGCGAGGCAAGGAAACAGTCGCAGACAACTCCCCTCTGCTTTCGTCCCAGCGACAAAGGGCTTGCGCAGTTCATCACGGGGAGCGAGGACTCGGCACAGCCAAGGAAGGACCAGAGCTACACCACCACTCGCACCCCCCGGACTCTACGCCATCCCCCCAAGCTTCTGCCCATCCACATCTGCACATAGGTATTTATTTACTGGCATTTTCCAGGTATCTACCTGCCACTGTGGCCACTGGTAGAACTTAAGGGGAATGTTCTGCCAGCTCTGTTTCTACAACCCTTTTTTATATACAGCTCACTGACACTTTAAAATTTCTCACACTACAACACAGAGCGCCCCGTTGTTCAGACGTGTATTTATTTTGGGGTCATGCCTTTTAAGAGCCTGACCAGAAAAAAAAAAAAAAAAAAGGCTCAGAGCATGATCACATGACTGTGAAGTGTATACTTGCGTTTTCAATCTAGTAATTCACACTTGCAAACAATAAAATTACCTTCTTCTGTCACAAAGGAAAGCTGTTATCATTACTGCTTCCCTCTCATGCGTACAGGCCTGGTCCTTTCTTTTTAATTCACCTGCCGCTTAAAGCAGATGCTGAATTCTTCTTGCCTTGTCCGGTACAGCTGGGTGCTGCTAGAGAGGTATTACGGCCCGTGGCAAGTGCAGGGGCATTTTAAACAGGGATGTGAAGTGACCCCTAGAGAGTGCTTGTGATTTTCAAAAAAAAGACTCATAGCAGCCGATATCTTAATTTTGGGAGAGTTGAACCAAAACACCTACAGAGGCTCAATTTTCAGGCACTGGCCACTCCAGTATTTTGAGTACATTTTATATCTGGATGCAAACACGAATGGTGTAAACGAGAGAGGAAAGGAAGGAAGCTAAGCTAAGTAATGCCCAGGTTTTCAGTGTGCAGAGCAAGAACGCCCACCCAAACATGGAAGGGCTGCTGCAAAGAGGAGCCAAGAACCTGTTCCTAAAGCCCACATTGAACAGGACAAGAAATAACGGGCCTAAATTACAGCAGAGGGAAATCTAAGTTCAACATTAGGACTAAACAACGCCAAAGCACGTCCCATGGGGAAGAAGCTGCAGAGAAACTGCTTAAGGAAGACTGTAATCCCTGCAACAGGCAAATGTAGGGCATATTCTTTGTGTTACAGGTAACCAGCAGCTATTTGGCAAACAGCGAGGAAAGCTTAAGCTTCTATTTGCACATCTGTCTCTTGTCTGAAACAAAAGCTTTCCTATGTATGTTAAAAAATGAAATACTACTACTACTATTACTAAACCACTGTTTTTCACAGGCCCTTCGCAACAGCAGACCTCCGTTGCTCAGGAGGGGAATCAGAATCGCAGAAACACAGAGCGACCTGCTCAAGGTCATCCACGAAGGCACGGGCAGAACGAGGAACAGAACCTGCCCAGCCTGATCCCGGCATTGCCCCATCCACGTCCAGGGTCTGCGTGAAAGCCTGATCTTGGCAGGATGGGATACAGCTGCCCGCCTGACACGACCCTCAGGCACGCTCGCTGGCGTGCGAACACATCAGCCGCCAGTCTCGCTCTAGACGGCTAAACCAACATCAGGACATAAGTGACTAAAATGCCATTAACAGAAAATATGGCGGGCCTCCAAAGCGACTAATAAACTTAATGCAAGAAATAAGTTCCCGCAGTCAGACAATAAGCAGCAGCAGCTGCTGCCACGCTGCTGCCACCAAAGAATCAGTAAAACATGCAAGCGATGTAATAACCCGCTCAATGTGGAGAAAACCCCCAGGAGACATTTTCAGTAAACCAAATGTCAAACACTCTGTCCCTACCACAATGATAACTACGTCGACACAGCGTAACGCAGACAGCATCCCATTAGCTGTAACAGCTTCCGAGGGTCAGCCAGACCCCGTGCAGTTCGTGGTGGACTCAAGGTGCCTCCCGAGAAGAGAGGGGAGTACGGGTTATGAAGATGGCAGCCAGATGAAGTGTAGCTGAGGCCCAGGAAGGCTATTGTGCAGAACGACTCCACTGGCCCAGCTATTTCGATGCACTTCACGTTTGCATTGACTTGCTGGAGGATTTTGGCTTACAGAATGCGCTTTCTGCGCGGCTTTTGGAACACAAGTGAGCGCGGCGGACCGCGAAGGAGGAGGCAATGACACCTCTGGGGACAGCAAACACAGTATAACTTCTAGATTATTAGGACCAGTCGCGCTATTTTTTTTTCACCTTCCTCCCCCTCACACCCCCCCCCATGCAAGCTGAGCTTGCCTTCATTCTGGGGACAGAGCAGGGGTCTGTACGCCTGCCTAACCTGTAGGACAGGGCAATATGTATCATATGCAAAAAATGACAGACACCCTAACCTCACTGGAAATTCTCAAAGCGTAAGTAATAACCAGTCAACTGGACATAATACTAAGATAAATACTAGAGTCGTGGGTATTATTAATGCATGTGATATGAACTGGTTCTTCCTAAACACACATATGCCACCTGCTCATTACCCTCAGACAAAAAGATGTGGGGAATGAGCAGCGCATCCCAGAACAATGTCTACAGGATGGGACGACTCTACTAGGAACGTGGGTCTGTCCTGCCCCATGTTTCATTTGGGGCTATCCAAACCAGCAAAGACCTCAATTCCATACAGGTACAGAGGTCCTTGCCAGCTGGGAAGCACAGATAGCTAGCTCCTAGCTCAGGCCCTGCACAGCAGAAACAAAAATGCACTTGATTGTTTGCTAAAAAGGCCAAAGTGTGTACGTCTAATCTCACAGGGCCAAAGACACTTGTGTCCCTCTCTTCCTATGATCCAGGTAAGGGGGTGGCAGAACTGACCACCTCATAGGGCTGAGGGCACAGCTTTCACCCTACACGTCCACTACACTTATTTTTGTGGCGAGAGGAACTAGACAATATTCAGAAACCAGAGCCGTTTTCTCAGTTGAAAAAAAAAAAGAAAAAAAGGAGTAAAGAAACTATGAGAAAGATGCATGATGAAACAACACAGGTCTTATTATGGACACAAAACATCTTAGTGCCAGCTTACTGGAGAGCTTTTATCCGGAAGTCTGTGCAATACCCCAAAAGGCAAGAGTCTAAGAACAGCAGGTATTTGGTTTCCATTTCACAAACAGACAAATGACATCTCTCTCTCACAAAGCACAAACATGTTCTACAACCCAGGGGAAAGATGTTTCTCAAGCCTTCTACATCCATTCATTGGAAAAATTATTCCACCTCCTTCCCACAAAAAGCTCAGCATTTGGAGATTTAGTTTAAAAATGTAATACTAAAGAAATATGGGTGTATATGCAGACAAACTCTCTGGTAGCTATGCACAAAACTTCACTGGTATTTGCTTTACTAATTAGCATATTAAAACATTATAGTCTTCCAATAAAATTCCTCACTCTTTAAACAGACATAAACACAAGCAACATTTTGGCCTTGAGTGAATCTTGACTGAACTATTCCAGTTATTAACTGATTTAAGAAAATGCATACTAAACCGAATTTAAAACAGTTGCCATTTCTGTTAAAAGCCAAGTTCTTTGTAAGTTTTCATTATACCTGAAGACACCAGATAACTTAGTTGTCTATTTCCAAAAGAATTCCATAAAACTAGATTTCAAAATTGGAGGAGTTTTAAAGCAGGAATCAAAACGTAGGTACTGAGACTCATGAAAATTTCTTGTTTGGTGTCACAGTAATTACAGAGTGAAAGCTCAGCCAGACTGCCTGGACAGATGTGACCGAGACACCCAGGCTATGATGCCAGTGACAAATGGTTAACTGATAAGAAGAAATGGAGGGGGCGACAGACTGAAGAACAGGTCAATATCATGCTGTCATGAAGCCATTTGAGAAACATAATTAATCTATTACTCACCTGGCATCATCATTCATTGTACAGTGGTCAATAGGTGCCATGAAGCTCACCAGCTTGCTATGGACATGATACCTGAAGAGTGCAGGAAATAAGCAGGCAGCACATTAGTAACTATTAATGAAAAGGAAATGGTGCTGCTTGAATAGAAACACACCAGTCCCTGAAATGCAAAGCACTGGCCTTCCTGGTGGCTGATACCTAATGAGTCACTAGTTGGAGCTGGCAATTCCCCCTCCCTTCCCTCCTCCTTTCCTATAACATGGACACAAGAACAATCAGATGATACAATGAACCGAATAGCAAGCAAATCCTTTTTTATCACGGCTAGAAAGAGGACATACAGCATCCCTTAATTGTGTGCGAGTACCTAATCAGACTCCTGGACAGACAACCCTGAAAAGTCAGAGACAGAGAAACAAGAACTCGTTTTCAGCCTTCCCTTCAGCTGGTGTCTTAATCACCTTCTGGAATTTGTGCCCAGAGAGCCCACTGCAGGCAGCAGAAGCGTCAGAGCATCAGACCTTCTCAAGCATCCATCTGCTATCACTTTTTCCTTGCTCTGTGGTATCCACGGCCCTAAAGGATATCAAAATCCCACTCTGCTCGCCATACCCGCAGTTAGAAAGTTTTACCCCGAAAAACTTACAAATGGAGCATGTAAAAACAGGCAAAGGAGACAGGAAAAAGACCCGTGCAAAGAAGAGATGGGGCACGCCCAAGGTGATACAGCGCTGCTTCTGATTCACCAAAATATTTCTGCAAGCTGTACTGCACCTCCAGATACAGGATCCCCTTCCCGCTTTCCACACTGGGCTAGGAACTTGCAGTAGCTTTTCATGACTTATATTCAAGGACCTGACATATAAAATTTAACAGAGTACTGAAAAACTCTGAATGAAAAGGTGGCTTTAAACCCTAGTGTCTAAGGGCAGGGGATTCCAAAGCAATGGCTTTTGGTGTACACTGCCATGCTGCCTACCCAACTCTGAAATGTTTCATCCAAGCTGCTGCTATTTTTAGACCTTGACAAATAGCAGGCAAAAGGATTCACAAGCATTTGCCCAGAATCACCTTTCCACTCTTGTCACCTCTGCACTCCCTTCTGTTTGCTTATGCGGGAACATTCCCTCGAGGGGATTTTTTAGCTCACAAGACTATTTCAGCACAGCTCTTCAGGCACAGCACACACTCACCCTTACACAAGGGCTTCTCTGCACAATCAAATCTTTGTCGCTCGTAATGGAAGCAACTGCCCTGGTCTAACGCTGTAATGATGGAGTCAGGGAACAGCCACAGCCGCGCAGGGCTAGTACTGCAACAAACAACAGGTCAATAGGCTGGACTATGAAATAGTTCATTTATGAGACATTAACAACTGATGGGTTCCAACTGATGGATTCCTACAGATCGAAGCTTATACAGGGACAGTCTGCGCAGTGGCAAGGGGACGTAGCAATTCTGACAAATTCTCTGACACGAGCTGTTTGTCCAGTTACTGTCACATTTTTTTAAATCAGGACTTTAAAAATCCCAGTCTAGCAGATATAAAATATTTAATTTCATTCACAGAAAGACATCCCATGCAGCACAGGACCAGAAATCACTGACGTGAAAAATAGGTGTGCACACATCCCTCCTCCATCTCTACCTCAAGAAAAGGCATGTCCTAGTGAGGGATAGCAGAGGTCTAGGCACCAGGTTTCTTAAGCTCCCTGTGGAGTTTTAGGATGAGCTCACTTCCCCTCTTAGTGCCCCAATCTCCCTGCCTATGAAGAGGACAGGTACTCACGTCAAGCGCAAGATCAACTGCTTTTGAAAGCGCCTGAAGATCCTCAGACCTTACAATAAACTAGCACATTTCATCCAAACATGCCATAACATTGAAGGTCTGCTAAGGGATTGCTAAAAAGGAAGATTTAGGGAGACAGATGAAACTTCGTATGTGATAGTTTGCTTTCCAGGATCTCAAAGTCCTTCACGAAAACAAATCTAAGCACTGCAGCCCCAATGATAGAGAAGGAAAAAGAAGAACAGAGGGTAAGTGATCTGCCTGGGGTGACACTGACTCACTGGAAGAACCAACTATTTAAAAAACACCCATTTGGGCTCTATTGGACTATTCTGAAAAGATGCTGGAGCTTAACTGCATGTTAATCCCAAATACAGACAATGACACTTTTTTCTTTATTGATATTTTCCCTGCAGGGTCAGTGCAACTTTTATTTAAAGAAGAAAAAAAAGGCACCTAAGATCTAAGAGGCAATTGACTTGGCGAGATAGCTGATCTCTCAGGAATGCTGAAGCGCACAGATTGCACACAATGAGAGACTTCCCCATTATTCCTGGAGGTTTACGAGTCTGACTCAGTTGTGTGATGTTGTCAGTAGTTTTGACTGAATCATGAATATATCCAATTATGTGTGATGCTGACAGAAAAGAATATTGATAGTCAATAATTATAGGCTTTTCAGGCCAACAAAGTAGCTCTTCCCTCTTTTAATAAATTATCTTATGACATCTATCTTAAAAATTGCTATGCCAGGCCTGACCCAGACTGACTCCACTGACTTTCTATCGGATGCCATCTAAACTCACGATTTATAGTTTACTCACAAAAGGATGGTTAATGTTGCAGATTTTTCAGGAAGCGGTGCGGCTTTTCAGCATGCCTCCCTGCCACAAACACCTCCTCCGCTACAAATCATGCAGTCATGCTAAACTCGGGGAGACTAATATATCTGCTTTGCAAAGGGGAAAAAAAACGCTATCCTCTGCAGACTGCTTCCCTTTCCACCCTACCATGTGGAAGATTCTTCCACTGGAAACACAACAGGAGAGATCAACCCAAATTAGTGATCCAGGAATCAGGATGTGAAATGCTTTGAAGCAAAGAAAGCTGCGATGGGACTCACAAAAATAAAGAGAGATTAGACACCAAATTCCAATTGACAGTCAGTGGGAAATAGACATCTACCTCACTGAGGTGTTTCTGCACACCTTCCCCTAGAACTGCTACCCACGTTTCAGTCAGCTAAATATATATTGCACAAGAGGTGTTCCTTGGCTTTCACTGGAAATTATGGCCCCAAATTGCTTAGGGACATTTGGACACCTCTCTCCAGCGTTTTCCGAGACCAATGAACACTCTTGCCAAGACTGATCTGGGCAATGCTCACAGGCTGCATCCACCCAAGCCCTTATTCTAGGCTCAAAGAACATTAAGATTCCCCAGTGGATGCCCCAGAGCAAGACATCTTGGCCTAAAAGGCATGAATATGCCTACCAATGCACCCCAGAGCCAACCCAGTGCAGTCAGACTTTATTTGGCAAAATCAGAACTTCTTGCAGAAGCTGTCACCCACCGGATTCTTCTTCCTTTGCTGGCTTTTCTGTCCACTTTCTTCTTTATTTTGCTTCGTAACTTCTGGATGGCCAGCCATTGCCTGAGGAATGCAAAACAACATTTACACAACTCTTTTAGAGCCACTAGGAAAATGAGCATTAGGTACCCTGGGGTCTGAGGCCCTTCCCAGCCCTTCTACCTATTGCATTGACACAAGCAAAGGAGATCAGAACCTCAGGAAAACAAGTATGAAACAAGTGCCCGTGGTACTGCTTCACCCCACGGACACAGCATTTAAACAACAAGCGTTTCTCCTGACTCCAGCCACAACGGGACACGCAGACCAGACCCGCTGATCCTGATGAGACAATCGCTGTTCGGTGAGAATATTCTACCTGCTGGGAAACCCACGGAGGCCACAAGCTCGGCTCCATTTTTCATTCTTTCTTGATGACTGAATATTTTTAAGAATCTTTAGAATTAAAAATAAAATCTTTACAAAATATAAATGCTAAAATCTGTAAAACATGCCTTTACAGGTACTGCTTTTTTGTTTCAGCCTTGATTGCTAGAATGACTTCTGTTTTGCATATAGAAAGCCCGTAACAGAAGAGATGGCCTGCCACATCCTAAACTGATTCTTTAAGTGAGATAGGTTATGCTAACTTCATGAACAGAATTACCATCATGCAGTAGATGCTCTGAATCTATTTCCTCCCTCGGTTTTGCAAAGTATATTGAAAATTGTAAGCAAGTATTTCTCCCCACCATCTCTGGCTTAAACCTGGCAAATCTAGCAAGAAGCCCTATATAATGCTCCAACTATTACTACACGAAACTACAAAAGAAGGAAAAGCAATAAACCCTTTCAGAAAGCGCTGTCTCATTCCCGACTATTTAGGAGGGAGAGCTCAACTCCTCAAACAGAACTTCATCAAGTCAAAGAAGTTTTCAGCAGGGGAAAACTTCTACTAGTTATAAATATTTTTTTTTACGAAAACGAGCATCATCTTACCTGATTTATACAATGAAAACTCTACATCAGGGGAAAAAATCTAGCAAAATCCAATTACTGCAATCTTAATATAATCTTAATTACTGTAATCTATTTTATTGTAAAGTCAGATAAATGTACAATGTAATCACCACTTAAATGTAATTTTGTCTATATCATGTTAAATTATAGTGAATAGCTTTCCATAATATTCCAGACATACACAAAATAAATTTGACACATTGCACTAAAATTTGGGTAATATTTTACAAGGATAAAAGTTATTTCACCATCACAAAATTTCCTAACGCATTTTCTCCCCCTCCCCATACGCATACCCCCATAGCACTTTTTCAATGGAGAGCCCTGCTCCAGCATTTTCAGCCTTCCTCTGCTTTTACACTTTCCTAAATTATAGCCCATAGCTATTTAAATGTACACTGTTCATTAAGTGGTATTTGGAAGATTCTTCATTTTCTAACTATAGAATTAAACAGAGAAATAAGAGCTTCCCTGCACGGAATTATATTTTACTTCTGCGTGCAGGAACCATTCCCTGCTATTGTTTTAATTGCACAGTATCTTTTCTTACAGCAGGGAGAGAGCACACACAAGAATTGCTGTAACTGATCGCACAACAGCAGGTTTGCTCCTCTAAAACAATGACAAATCCGAGCTCATAATGAGAAAAGGCCAAATTGCAGCAGCAGGCAGTCACTTTGCCTAATTCCCCCTCGCTAGGGTCAGTTAAGACACCCCTCTATAGATTCCCTTTGTGCTGCCTGAACCACTGAGAGACAGAAATATCCAAAGTCCTTTTACATCTGGAAAGTATCTTCAAGGGATTGCAGACAAACCAGGGCACAGCTCAAAGGCTGGCAAACTCGGAATCAGGCGGTGTGATCCATAACTAAGGAATATGTTACAGAGGATGACTTTCTTGACTAATGTCATACTGTTTTAATAATCTCTTATGCAATTTCCTACACCCAGATGCTTTCTCCAAAAATTTTGCCCTCTACAATGAACTGGACCGGAAGCGCACAAGTAGTTTTGCGCTTCTGGACTGGAACGCAGTGCTGGGGTGAAGCTAGTGATGTTACAATTTCCTACTTACCTGCCCATTGCTACCTGGTCGTTGGGGTCCCATGAAGTGGTTTTGCGTTCTATAAGTTCTCGAAGGAGCTAGAAGACAGACAACAATCCCATTTAAAAACACAGTAAAGACATGTTAATGCAAACAGGCTCACAGGTTTCTCAGAAGATTTAAGAAATTGGCTGCCAAGTTCCCAAGGGAACCTGTATGCCTCATTTCTTGAAACTCCCTAGCAAACCCCAAGCCAACAACCAAGGCTTTTTAACATTTCCTCTGCACAAAAGAGTTTTCCAAGGGAAAAAGGTGATGTCCCTGAAAAGGTTCAAGCAAGGAAGCAGAACCCTATGCTGAAAGCGTAAGTAACTGTAGATCATGCCCCTCTTCCAAAAAGGTCCCCACAGAATATGTGACTGGGGCACGACACTGAAGGCCACTTCAAAGAACTTCTGTATATAAGTTAATTTCAGATGGATCTAGGAGTAATATAACCTTCCCTTCAACACATCACGGTTTATTTAGGTGGCATGTAGCATCATATCGTTCAGCTGAAGAGAATCTAAAAGGTTATGCAGAGCCAGAGGAGCACAACTTAGCAACACCATGGTCCAAGAACAAGGAGCCCCACATGGGCAAAGCCAACTGAGGATCTTCAGCCTAAGCAATGGCACAGGACTGGAATCCCTGGGGGCACTGGAAAGCCCCCTCTGGGACTGTCAGATGGGCCAGCCGTTCGGTAGCTGCTCGTCCCACGAGCCCAGAGCAAAGCGTACAATCCCACGGAGGGCAAACAGCCGACAAGCTTGCGGGGATGTGAGCAGTTGAGCCCGACATGAGATGGTCGTTTCTCACCCAGAGGGGCAGAATGAAGAACTCCCCTTGTATTTTAGAGGCTGGTATTGTTCCTCAGGCTTTTGGGAAGATAAAAAAGGCCTGGATCTTCACAGGCTGTTGTGTACGCAACTCCCATGGGCAAGAGATGGAATGCAGGCAGATCTGCAGGAAGACCTCTGCCCCACAGGTCTCACCCCACACTTCGAGCGGGGAGGGCAAGGGGGAACTGAAACACTTCACCAAACAGAAGTCAAGCATTGCTGGGCAGTAATGCTCGCTCTGAGGAACAGCACAGCAAAATAATTTTTATA